AGGTGAAGGCAAGAGTTCACAGAGAGTGCAAGACTTCACCTGACGCCGTGAGGGTGGGCAGGCCCTGGCACAGGGTGCCCAGAGAAGCTGTGGCTGCCCCTGGATCCCTTTGAGTGCCCAAGGCCAGGCTGGACAYTGGGGCTGGGAGCAGMCTGGGACAGTGGGAGRTGTCCCTGCCATGGCAGGGGTGGCACTGGGTGGGATTTAAGGTCCTTCCAACCCAAACCAGTCTGGGATTATGGGATTCTATGATTAAACTCATCTAAGCCATTAATGCCGACAGGTTTTATTCACATGCTGCCAAATGGCTGTTCCAGGAGTTCTGGGGATTTTCCAGTGGTTTGTTATTTAATGGGCTAAAACCCAGGAAATCAATCACAATTAGATAAAAGGACTAAGCAACAAGGAGTGATGTACTCAGAAACTCCAGTTCCAGCTCCATAAAGCCAATCCCTTGGGTTCTCCCAAGTCACTCCTTCAGGAGGCAGCTGCTGGGATCCTTCTCTGGAAGAGCATCTCTTTCTTGGGCGACCACAAAACCTGAACTTTTGATCTTGGCAAGGTCAGTCACAGAGCCCTGCTCTTCCTCCCTTCTGCTCTGCAGGGAAATTGGGAATCTGACTGTGACTGGCACTGGGCCAGGCATGCTAAAGGTCACTGGGAGGAATTCAAGCTGACTTCTACTTTCAAAGCTCTGCCTTTCCCAGCAATCACAGAATCTCTGACTGGTTTGGGCTGGGAGAGACCTGAATGCCCATCCAGTGCCACCCCTTCCACTGTCACCTTCCACTGTCCCAGGCTGCTCCAAATCCCATCTGACCTGCCCTTGGGCATTTCCAGGATTTAGGAGCTGCTAAAATCAGCCCAGATGTGTTTTTTCAGGCCGAGCTGCACTTTGGTTTGCTTCTGAAATCTTCCTGCCCCACACCCAGTCCTCCCAGGAAAGCTTTTGTAGGTGAGAGGCCTCTGCCTCAGCCACAGCTTCCCTGAATCACAAGAGCCAGGCCTGGGGCCAAGGGGCAGCCTCTGCCTGTCCCCACCTGGGCTCTGTGGCCCACAGGTCCCCAGGCACCCCAAGCAGTAACTAGAGAAGCAGTAATTAGAGAAGAAGCAGCAATTAGAGGAGAGTTCATCTTGAGCTGAGCTCGTGGACACTGCAATGACAATGGATCAATAAARCAGGTGAACTTTCACCGGTTCTGATGTACACCGAAAGCACAGAGGGGTGCTGGGGCTGCTCACTCTGGCACAGCATGTTCTGGCAAAGGCAGGAGGAAAACAGACCCCTTGGAAGGCCTGGGAGTTCTTGGACAAAGATTTCAGATGCAAGAGGAGTGGAATGATTAAGGAATAGGGAAGCAGGAAAATTGAAGGAGTCAGGGCTTGTGGTCAGATTCCAAAAGAGGGCAATGAGGGAAGACAGAAAGAGCAGATTGGAGAATTCCAGTCAAGGGAGGAGAGTGAGAATTTCAGGGAGAAAGAGAAACCAGATTGCACAACACCCAAGGGATTAGGGGCATAGTCCCCAGCTCCACATTTTTCTCTCTCCCAAAGTTTGGGAACTTTGGGGTCTTCCCTGCCCAGCAGGTCCTGCAGGTTCTGAGCCCCAATCCACAATGTGTCCCACTGAAGAGCAGAGCCAGAGAGTCTTTCAGAAATACCCATCTTAAGCTCCAGAAAAGCTTTTAAATGCTTCTTAACCAGAAATACTGGTGCTTGGAAGTCATGCTTTTTTTTTTCTGAGGCAGATTGGGAAAGAGCCATTATCACTTGGCAAAATGTCATTTTCTAGGATTCATCATCCTATAAAATTAGTATTGAATAAGTGGGTGCAAAGCAAGGCTCCTTCCCTTGAGGCTGTGCTGCTGTGAAAAAATAAGGGTGTAAAGAGCTGAGTTCCAGGAAGAATTGTGAATAACCCACAGGCTTTGRACTGCTGGTGTGCAATGTACTGGAAATGTCTCTTCCTTAGGGACTGGAGCTAGTCAGGCTCATTTTGCATTCTCTTGAGCCATTATTGTAGAGCACTGGGGCCATGGAATGATGAYGGCATCACAAAGACAAATGAGAGGCCACTGGGGAAGCCTGAGAGAGGAAATCCTCACTCAAGAATCACCAATGGGCATCGATAACCCCAGGATTCCCTCCTGGAGAATGCACCAAAGAATCTGATCAACAGCTTCCAGCTCTTCCATTTTCCCATCAACTCTGCCATCACATCACTCAAGTYTCCTCTCTCATTTCCACTCTCTCCCTGCTGCTCCTCTGTTTATGGGACAGTTTTTGAGAAACCCCATTACAGTTCCTTCGAGAGGAACATTCTTTTCCCATCTGGGTGAGTGTCATGACAAAGGCAATGGAAATCCCATCAGGATTTGCAGTGGGTTGGTTTTTCAGCCRTGCTGCCCTAGGGGGTGAAACCAGGCTCTAGAACTTCCCCAAAYAGGGCAGAACTCACTGATCACTCTGAAATTCCAGCCTGGAGGAGAGAACACTCCAKGGAGAGCTCAGAGCCCCTGCCAGGGCCTGAAAGGGCTCCAGGAGAGCTGGAGAGGGACTGGGGACAAGGGCTGGAGGGACAGGAGCCAGGGAATGGCTTCCCAGTGCCAGAGGGCAGGGCCAGATGGGATWTTGGGCAGGAATTGTTCCCTGGGAGGGTGGGCAGGCCCTGGCACAGGGTGCCCAGAGAAGCTGTGGCTGCCCCTGGATCCCTTTGAGTGCCCAAGGCCAGGCTGGACATTGGGGCTGGGAGCAGCCTGGGACAGTGGGAGGTGTCCCTGCCATGGCAGGGGTGGCACTGGRTGGGCTTTAAGGTCCCTCCCAGTCCAAACCACTGTGGGATTTTAAATATTATTTATGAAGATTGAACTTGTRTGTTCTAAAATCAGCCTTTTGAAGGTACCAGAGGCTGTAAAAAATTCCAGGTTTTCTATTCTTTCAGATTGATGAAATTTAGGACACTTCTGTCCTTCCAAATCTAATCCCAGAATCACCAAGGCTGGAAGAGCCCTTTGGKATCATCCAGTCCCATCCCAGCAGCACCATCATCACTTCTAAATGTCCCCAAGGGCCACATCTGGACACGTCTGGGACACTTCCAGAGACAGGGACTCCACYACCTCCYTGGGCAGCTCATTCCAAGGCCTGACCCAAAAAATAATAATTGCTGCTCTTGAGCACTGGTGAGTCCTCGTGGAGAGCTGTAAGCAGGGCTGGAAGAGTCAGGAGGAGCACCAGAAACACAGTCTGTAAGGAAGATGTTGTGTGGTCTGGGGAAAGGAGTCTGAGGGCAAAGCAATGACAATGTTAACAATGGGAAAGGCTTCTGAAAGCAGGGATGGAATCACCTGTGTCCATCAGGGAGGTGACAGCATCTACAAGATCGCAGCAAAACAGAGACAGKGAAAGCTTTCAAATGATGGAAGCAGAAAATACAGGTGGTATTGCCTGAGAAGGGGGATTAAAAAAAAAAAATTTATTGGGAAGGGGTAGATAGATCTGATCTCTCCTTGGGCTCCCTGAAGTCCTTCCTTCYTGCGCCAGTGTTCCCACACTTCTCACACAAGATGAAATGCTGTGTTTGCTCCTTTTATTTTGCTCCAGAGCTGACATGAGAAGAAACCACCAAATGGCATCTCCT